TCTTCATCGATCATCTCTTCTGCTCCTTCTACGGTGTCAAAGCTAGTGTTTTTGGAATCATTAGCAGGCATATAGTACGGTCGCTGGTATCTGTTGCCGAACTTAATCTCAGTCTGGTGAAAAGGGCAGGTGTCGTGATAACAGTGGGACCAGTGGAGTCTGCTTTGTTCAAGCTCATGAGGAGGGGTGCTGCGGAGTGTGCAATAGTCTTTCCATTCTTCATTAATGTCTTTTCCTCATTCCGTTCCGGCAGAGCTGTACACGGTGTAAGAGAAAGGATTGGAGGGAGTGGCAGAGCTGGCGGTAGCCATCGATGGTTCTTGTTCATAGAAGGTGTCGTCAGGGCTGTCTTCGCTTTGTCTTGTGTGGTCATGAACAAGAAGAGGATCTGCGAGATCTTGATTCTCATATAGGCGGGAGAGATCATCAGCTAAATAGTTCGTTCTTCTAGGGGTATAGATGATTTTTGCATCGTGTTTGCTGATTTCGCCTATTCATCTTGTTCTTCTTCTTCCAGGTATTCTTTCTGTTTTTAGATTAGTGACAGGTTGGTGGTCAGTAACAATAGTGAAGGTATTGTCTATCAGGATGTGGTTGAAAGCGGCGAGAGCATCAATTACAGCAAGAGCTTCCTTGTCTGTTGTTCCAAAGTTCATCTGTGACTTAGTGAACTTTCTGCTCTGTAATGCTGCCGGTCTCGCCATTTCATGGGAGGCCCCTTGTCCAACCCATGCTCCAACTCCAATATCCGATGCATCAGTAATCAGCCATATTGGTTTTGGTTTACTATAGCCGATAGGTTGAATAATGTTGGCGTTCTTAATTAACTCCTTGATGTTGGTAAAGGCTTGGTCATGAGTGTAGGTCCAGACAAATTCTGCATTGCCGGTAAGGTCTGCGAGCGGCGCTGTTATAGTGGCTTGGTGTGGTAGGAACTGGGAAATATAGTTGACTAGTCCTAGGAATCACATGAGTTCTTTTTGATTTTGGGGTGTCATCCATTCTGTTAAACAGGATATTTTTCCAGGAGCTGCATGTATTCCTTCATCATCTATAACATGTTCTAGGATATCGAGTTTATCGGCAAACAGGATTGATTTGTTTCTGCTAGCGTAGAATTTAGCTTCCCTAAGGTTGGTATAAACTAAACCTATATGGTAGGCATATTCTATTTTGGTGTTCGAGAAGATGAGAATATCATCAATGTAGACCCAAACAAAATGGTGGAGGTATTCGCTCAGGAGGTTTTCCATAATTCGCATAAAGGTGGCGGGCGCATTCATATCACCTTGTAACATAACTCGGCTAATAAAACTTCCGAAGGGTGTTTTGAAACTGTTGTAGCGTTCGCTTTCTGGATCTAACCTTGTTTGGAAGTAGGCATCGCTTAGGTCAATCTTACTTCGGAATCTAGCCCGTCCAACTCCATTTAGCATCTGGGTTTGGCTTGGGATAGCGGAGCTGTCCATAACCGTGTTTTCGTTCCGTAGCTTGAGGTCAACCAAGGGGCGAATTCTGTTGTCATCTGCTTTGGGTTGAACAAATATAGGAGCCGCACCTGGGGCTTCTGCCCAGTAGATGACTCCTCTTCTTTGTTGTTGGTTGATCCAATTACAAAGTGGGCTTTTGTAGGCGTCAGGAATAGAATAAGTGGGTTGGTTTTTGAGATTAGAGGGGTCTCGGAGGCGAATGTGGTGGTTCACCTCTCTCATAGGCGGTAATTCTTCGGGTATTTGATCAGGGAAAACATCAGAGTATTCATCCAATAGTCGTTGGGCAGTTGCTTCACAGACTGCGGCTCGGTATTCTCCGCTTGTTGGCTTGCATGAGACTCTGACCTTCTCATCTGTGAAATCAATGGTTGATTCCCCACACCTGATTATAGCTTTGTGGCGGTTCAGGAATGGCATACCTATTAGGGCATCGTATTTGGCTAAATTTCCAACCAGCATTTCCTGGGAGGGTAGGACTACAGAACCAAGTTGAATAGTTGCACTACAGGTTTTTTGACTTGTGGATTGTGATCCCTTTACTGCCATATTGACTGGTATGGGTTGGTTAAGGTCTCGAGTTGGGAGTCCATGGACAGAGACAAAGGCATTACTGATCATATCTCTTCCAATTGCGCCAGTGTCGAATAGGACTCGAGCCTTTTTGCCATTGATTAGGATAGTACCTTCTAGAGTGGTGTGTGCTTTGAATGTAGCCGGAGGTCAAACACTGTTGTATTCCACATCGATATATCCGATATGGATCTCTTGATATTCGCTGGATTGGGTATTATCGCTTTCAATGTTGTTGGCCGATGCCTCTTGCTTAATTGCCTTTTCTTTCCCTTTCTTAGTATGACAGTTCTTTGCCATGTGTCCTGTTTTTCCACATTCAAAACATTCTCCTTTCTGCCGTCTTGATTCTTTGGAGTATTTTGTTTTCTTCTTGAAAACCTGTGGGATATCATCTTCAGAGTTGCTGGAGGCTTTGTGCCGTGGCTGGCCGTTCCTACTAGATGATGTCTGTATTTTGTAAGCCTTGGTCTTATGGAGAATGGCGTCCTTTTGTTCTGCTCTTGCAATTATTACTGCAATATCATCGCCATCTTCCTCGAGCGGTTCTACTTCTCGCCGGAGGGTAGGGTGCATAGTGTCGTAGAATCGTCGCTTCAAGATGTATTTGGAGATACTTCCTCTCTCCATTCGGTCCTTATACATCATCAGGTCCGTAGCCACATCGGTGATTCGCTTGACATGCATTCCGTTACATTGCTGGAGCTGGTTGAATTTGTTGTATAGGAGGTCGTAGGTTATAGAGGATTGGAATTGTCCTTTCAGGTAATCGAGAACTGTAGTTCCTCTTAATCTTACATTCCCGCCGTATTCCTTATAGTATTGGTGGTATGCGTCGGTTACCTTTCCTTCGCAAAATGATCCAATGATAAGTCCGGCTGTAGGGTCTTCCACATCTTTTCCTTGTAAGAGTAGGAAGTGTGAGAGTTCTGTCGCCCATCGGTCAAAAGCTTCCGGTTTGAGGTCTTTTCCTTCTCCTGTGAACTTCGCTGGGAGGTGGAGTTTAAACTTAGGGGGTTCAAATGCTACAGGTACCTCCTCTTCTTCAGGCCTAGCCCAAGATTTTCCTCCTCCAAAAGGCCCTCCTCCTGTGCTAGCCATATCTGGTTCGCTACTGGATTCTGAGTCGATTGGAGGTTTAAAGGAAGGCTTCTTTGCTGGAGTAGAAGGGAATTCTCCTGGAGGTTGTGTATCTTCCGTATTTGCAGGATCGCCCGGCTCTTTAGCAGAGTGCCGGGGTTGTTTCTTTCTTGTAAGGTCTTACCGTGGGATTTGCTTCCCACTCCTGGTCGTCAACAACTCTATCTTGGGTTTGAGATGAAGTCGAATGTGCCGTGATTCTGCCGCTTCTCTCTGCTAGCATTCTGAGGTGGATATCGATAGGTTGATCAGGCCTAAATCCGTGGACATGTTCTTAACCACTTGCTAAGGTTAAAAAAATGTAATGTGTTCGCAAGGTGCTAATCACGTTATCGGTAATAGATACGATAGTTGGCAGGTGGCCTGCTCTTCCGGAGAGGAGGCGAGAGCTGAGAACTAAAGGAGGCTTCGAGGGTGTACTGAGGAACAAAGAAGTAACCGTTCAACCAAGTATATTGAAATACTGTCTGTCGAAGTCTGCCTTTTCTATCGCGGAAACAGGTGGTCTTTAAATACACAAATCTGTTCATGTCTAGCATGAACGAAACTAATCAAAGGTATCAATTGATACTCTTTGGTAAAACTTCTTAAGTATCAAATGATACTTAAAACAAACCAAGTATTAAAGCGATACTTAAAACAAAACATAAAACAAAACCAATAACTGAGTACCCATACCGGTTACAGAGAATGTCTTTGGACATGGGAAATTGTACATGGCATTGTACAGAGCAACAAGTAGTGAAAGGGTCAAAGTCTTATTATCCAACTTGGTATTTGAAGGGGACAAATTGTGCAAAATTGTTGTTTATTCTGAGATTTTTCCTATATAAGTTTTCCTATTGTATTTTTTATTATCTCTAATATTCCTATCTAATTATTTGATCATTCTCTTTTATATTCTATTTACTTTTGTCTCCTATCTCTCTTACTGTTCTTATTGAATTTGTCTCTGTTTTTCCCTCTATATATTCTTCTTTCTCTTCTACTTTGAATATTTCTTAATACTTTGATTTTTCATAATTATTGTTTTTGTTTTCAATATGTATTTCTACTATCTACGGTTAAATTACTATTTATCAAACATGGCAATTGCTTAACACTGCACTCCATTTTAGCTCCGTGTGGTACCACACGGGTGACTACTCGTAAGTTAAGTACGAACGGTATCGATTAACTTGCACTAACATCATATTAACGTGATACGATTACTAAGCCCGGATGAACGTCTGCATGTTCCGACGTGGAGGAGTCTGGTGAATTCGTTGGCGTTTGTCGCCGGGGTAACGGTCATGGGCCTTCGACCGCTAATTACTGCATTTTTTGGGATCTCCCAGCCCCGTGCGCCCCCGGATGTCTTGGTTCGCCGCGGACCGAGCATGGTACTGTGAGTACAGTACTGTACAACTGGCGTAAAAACCTAATATCATACGGTAATCGAGGACCGTAAAACTATTCAAATACTCTTGAAATCCACCGTCTCCGGCGGTCCTGCGATCTCTGGATTCTGGGTCAAAAGGTTCCCGAGAAGGATTTGTGTTTCCCGGACACGGTATAAGATCGGTCCATTGGACGTGTTGGATCTTACCGATTGGTACTCGCCATTCCGCCAACCTATCGGACTAAACACATCGTGAGTGCGCTAGTAGGGCAGATTTCTGCTGATAATCTGATGCGGTGGCGGATTCCAAGCGTTTTTTACGAGTAGCCCCCGCTTGTGGAGATGTCACAATCAATCACTCGAGTTCAACAAAAATTTATCATACTCTCGGATTACTATTGAGGGAATCGACATGGTAAGGAGATACAGATATATACTAATGCAAATTACGGTTATAAATACAGTTCCATTTCTCGCACAATTATATTCCCCCCTCTTTCTACTGCGAGTGCAGTATCTTACCATCCGCGCATGGTGCTATTTCCACCTCCGCCGCCAATGAATTCTCCGCCATGAGTCCTACGGTGGCGGCCGCGTTAGTGAGAACTTTGACCACTTTGGGGGGGGGGGGTGGGGAGCCCTACTTGAACCAGTTGAGCATCTGGAAGGTACTGGCTTTGGGAATGCGCTCGAGAGAAGTGTAGTCAAGGTGTTGAACGCCGAATCTGGTCTTGATACCAGACCCCCATTCAAAATTATCATCTGATAAGCGTTAGCTGACGTGCTGTGAAAATTTACGTACGAGGCAGAACTTGCAGATGGACCAGATAAACGCTCCGGTGACGTTAATCTTGTCATGGTGAATGGCCATCAGGATGTTGTCCATGAATCCTTGCAAGTAATCTGCTCTCCTCAGATCCCATAGGGCATCCTGAATATTGGTGAAGGAGCTTTCGAAGGGCTCCGAGAAGCCGAATTCGGAGACCATGATCTCCCCGACGCTTGGGAAGAGGTCTTGGGTGATGGCCTTCAAGAACTTCCTAATTCCTCCAGGTGTGCTCTTCAACCAACCTGCGCCCAGATCGGCACCCGGTCCTATCCCAAACCCGTTAGGGTCACTGGAAGATGTTGCAGCGCATTCAGGGTATCCGGGATATGAAGAGTTGCTTGTGCAGTCCTTCAAAGATCCCCGCTGGAGGGCGCCGGCGTAGAACGCGGTGTAGGCATCGATGGCGAAGAAATCACAAGAGCCCTTGATAATATTCTTCTCTTGCTGGGTGAATTTAGGGAGCAAATCTCTTAAGGTGTCCTTGAGTGACTGAGGATAGTCGCCGTCGGTCCATGGGCCACCGAACCATCCGAGAACGAAGTCGTATCTATATTCGGACTTTAGCTGGGGTAGGAGGCAACTGGAGTTCGTTCTCAAGTACTCACGATCTCTGGACTGCTACCTTGTCGGCCTCGCTGGTGCTGTTGGCTTGAAAGTAATTCCCGCTGTTCTTGAAGGTGATTTTTCCCTTTCCTTTGAACTCTTCGTGGTACCACTTGGCAACCTTTGCATGTGCAAGCCTGCAAATTGTCAGCTATCGCTTAACGGGGCGCGCATGATTGGAATACCCACAAGGTGTGATGGCCACACAAGAAACGGGCCTTCAATCCTGGCCCGACACCATAGGACGGGTAATAGGTGCCGGCAGGGTAGTAGGAGTATTGCCAGTTGCACTGTAAAGCTAATATCAGCAAAGCCACTCGTGGAGTCTTGGCGGAACTCGGAAGCTAACGTATTGTGGCTCATCTATATAGTCTCGTTAGCAGTGATGTTTTTTCTTCTGGAGAATTTTATAGAGTAAACATACTAATAGTGAACCAAACTGGAACGTATTTGTCATATCTCGAAATGACAAACTTGGCATAGTTGACATAATCGTCCACGATCTTGCGGTTTGTCCATCCCTACGAGAGCCAACAATCAATATCACACTTGATCACTCGGTCGTTTAACCCTCAGGGTACTTACACCGTACTCGTTGAACAAGGCTAATGGGGTATCCCAATGGAACAAGCTGATAGCAGGCTTGATGCCATTCTTCACCATCTCAGCGATCACGTCATCGTAGTGCTTTACACCGGCTTCGTTTACCGGGCCGTGTCCAAAGGGGAAGATTCTCGGCCATGAGATGCTAGGTGAGTAATAAGGAGTGCCCATGGTCTTTAGTCTAGCAAAATCTTGCTTATACAAGTAATAGTGTTGACCAAGGACATCTCCCGTGGAATTGTCCGCGACCTGGTTTGGCACACGATGCGACAGGAGATCCCAAATCGAAGGTCCGCGCCCTTCGTCCTTTGCGGCTCCCTCAATCTGATATGCCGAAGCACTGAGACCCCAGGCAAAGTTTGGCGGGAGCTTTACCCCAGTTAACTCGGAGGAGAAGGTACTCGCCACGAGGGGATGAAACCCGCCAGGGCCCACCAGGGTTGCTTCCGGTGTGGGTTCAATGGTTGCGGTAACCTTGGCGTGGGTCGCAACAGGCCCAACCTGGTTCCAGAGGAATCCGAGCCTCTCATTGGAATAATCTGTGTTGGGGAGCTCGGTTGTCCCGGCAGAAGCATTGAAGGACATCGTTGGAGTAGGGACCTATATTGTAAGGTCAGCTGACATCAGCTACTTGGGAGGGCAGGTATCTCACAGTGTTGTTTCGAGCGTTGGCTCCCATGGCGAATGCCAATTGGAGTACCAACGCCGCGTATTGCATCATCTTCGGCGCAGAAAACACTCAATTAAGGTGTTAATGGAGAGAAGGGTTCAGACGAAGGACCGTAGATCTGGATGTTCCGGCAACTTTTCCAATAGCCCATTAAAATACCAGCTGCGCCCAAGGCCTTTATATAAGTTTCGACCGACCTTCCCACACCTCCTTCCCCTCCCTCTCTAGCTCCCCGATTCCAAGAGGAGTCGATGCGCGGTGTGCTTTCACCCTAGCTAAAGCAGCTATAAGCTTGATGTATAGATTACTAGACTATCCGTGTCTGTTTCCCGAGTGGGGCGCTATTCCAGTCACATTCCCACGCCATACTCGAGCCCCGAATACTGAATTGCGAGCTCCCTATAGTGAGTGAAGGGCAAACACATAGGGTCGCCCTTTCCGAGATGAATCCATCTCACCGCCTCCAACCCCGGTCCATGGGCCAGAAAGCGTGGGAAGGCTAGTCCATGCCATATAGGGTAGGCTTGGCGACAGTAATTTTTTAAGACATCTGTCGTACGCTTCTCGTAGAAAATTCTGTGGGGGGACACAAGGGACAGGGGGGGCGGGGTGAGTGAGATCCATGCAAACATAGAAAACAAAGCACTTCCATCAGGATTCCCCGGCGTTTCGCTTGCGGGGAAACGGGCAGTAGGTGCTGTGTTGGGCTTTCCTATACTGAGTACGGTAGTGGTTCTCCGAAGGATGCATCAATTGGACTAAAATTCTCTTCGGTCTCGTTCAGCCAAGCTTATAGTACCGTGGTACTGTACCTGTACAGTACTCGAGGATTAGAAAGTACTGTAGTCGGTTTGTCTGTGCAAGCGTTGAGCTACCGATTCATGCATGCACAAAACAGCACAAAAGAAAATGCCCGGCAAGCTCGACGAAGCGTCGCTTTGAGTCCGGCAATCTACCCGTCCGAATCGCGTGCTGTGGCTGTTCGAGGAAGGTAGCTGTAATTTCCTTGGTAGAATTTTGTTCTGCGAATAACGGTTAGAGTGATGTGTTTACGCATGTCCCGACAACCCCCGAATAATAATTTCCGAACAAGAACTTTCCTTGGAACCCCCCCAGCGGTTTTTTACACTAACCCAATATCTACTATCGAGATCAGCACCAGTACAATAAACTTAGTACTAGTGCTCGAGTGGTCTACCGGAACTCATACTGTATGAGTACTAATACGGTACTACCTTAGTACTTCACTGTGGATCTAAAGTTTGGTGCGGAATACTAAATTCTGACCTCGGGATGGGCGCTTCCAGAATGGACGCGGGACAGTGGCGCCGACGGAACCCCGGTTTCCCGTACTCCACAATCATAGCTGAGCGGATATGAACAGGCATACCGCACGTACCAGCATTTTTACAGTTAGTGACGGTGTGGTTAGGCAAACTCGATTGATTAGAAATGTGCATGCTTCGCGTGTGTAACCCGCACAGAATGAATCGATTGAAGCAAGGGCAGATTGAATATCGGTATACTGTGAATGGAATTGAGTGGGAGCAATATATCCCTCGACCTGTGTTTACTGTACCAAAGGTGCTAGCAGTATATGGTCGGGGAGCTCTTGCAGTGACCCGACCAGTGGAGAACATCTACTGTGCTAAGGTGCATGTACTGTACAAGTACCGTCACACCATTGCCATACTTGAGCTATCCCTAAGCTCTGAATCCCCTGAGGAGCTGAAAAGAGAGGATAGAGACAAAGGGATACGATATGGGACCGGGCGTCCTTCTCGACCTAGAAGGCGCGGTTCATACTGCCAGTGTTTAGTTACCAGCCTAGCCTACCATGCCGGTATCCCAAGAGCTTGTTGCAGAGCTTCCATAAGTGGAGCTTCTTGCGGAGCCCAGGAATGTTCTCACCTTTCCTTCCTTCCTTCCTTCCTTCCTTGATCAAAACAACGCATGGAATCAATTGGCCCTCTAGGAACTCCATTCTTTAAAAGTTTCCAAACAAAAGCACATATATGCTTGTTGCAATTGTGATGGCTTGATTAATAACTACCGATCTGCAAAATCGAGGCAACTCGTCGGGTAGAGAGTACTTGTACTCGTACCTGTTGCCCCTCTGTCAGAATGCAGGAGTACAGTACCGGTAGTATGATACCGGTACGGCATAGTTGGTACTTCCCTGTGGTACAGTGCAAGGGTCAGGCATTTAGTCATGGAAAAGTCATGGAAGAGTGACGGGGATAGTGGATGTTCGTCTGGACAAGATGTTGGTACAAGCACCTTGATACATGCTGAGGCAAACAGACTGAGTGCATTGTAAAGGAGGATCTATGGGTGATGTTTGTACTCAAGTACTGGTGAACGGTTGGAATTAAGATGACACCCCGGTGAAATTTACTGCACTTCACGAGTACACGTACCTCGGCTAGATGCTTGACCCTTGTACTAGTAGTATGGTATGTAGGTCAGGCAATAGAAAGTGGTATATACTGGGCAGAGCAGGTGGGGGGGGGGGGTTAGAAGCAGCAGTGCACGATAACTTGGAGAATCAGCGCATGATAACGAGTGAGCACGGTGGGAAGAGCGTCACCAAATATTGTTTCATAGTTTCTCCAAGAAGAATCCTTTCCTAGCCCTCCCGCCAATTGCCACTTGACAAGCTAGTGAGCTCCAGAATTCACAGCTATCCGATTCTTTAGTGCGAAATTTTCGGCGCGATCCCTAGTGGATGTCATTGTGCGATCAAGCTCTGATAGAGGGAGAGAGGGGGAAAAAAGAAACACGCGGGGATCTGTGTGCCCCTTTTCGTAACTTTCGGAAAAGCCACAATAAGTCGTCGAAATAACTGAATACCCTCAAAATACCCCCCCCCCCCCTTGATAAGGACAAGGGTCCAGGGTGCCCTGCGTCGCTGCAGTGCCCGGTTTTTCTTTCAATATCATAACAAAATTCACTTAAATGCCTCTCTTGCCTCAACTACCCCCCCTCAAAGCCACCTTGTCTGGGAGACCTCTCATCTACAGTAAGTAGATATCAAGGATGCGCGTAATTATTTCAAGCGGGGTATACGGTAGGAAAATTCTCAAAGACAAATACTGCGCACAAATCGAATACCGTATCTTTTTTAAGATATTCATATTAGTATTCATGCCATGTGGTCCGAGTTGCCTCTTATGGTAAGGTCTCTCTCTTTTTTTTTTTCGTCCCGCAGAGTAGCCGAGCCACCCGGCTACAGTACAGTAGTTCTGTGCCTCTCGCCCCTTTTCCGGAGAAGATACTGCGAGTACGATACGAGTACTCGTAGCGGTAAGACTAGACTACGAGTATGCGCCGTACTAGTACGAGGAGACGGAAAACATGCTCCCTTGACAAGGTGCAACCGATCGATGACCATTCATGAATACCAGCTCAGTGTCACAAAGAATTTAATGGTAATTTTTATACCTGCAACTCCTCCGATGACTTGTTGTATACACGCTCTAACTTTTTTGCTTGCTTGCCCCATTGTTTTAGCGGATTGTAAATATTATCATTATCTTCATCAGGCTCACATTTGTATTCCGTATACAAGTATCATACTGGCCCCGTGACGAGCGTTGGGGCATCTTTAAAAACCCGAATAATTGGACCGTATGCTATGTCGTTGGGCTTTCCTCTTTCAGTAAGGTCAATAATTTCTTTTTTTTTTTTGTCTAGGAAGGAGTGAGGGGGCTGTGTTTTCTCGTGTTTATTTGCCCCCTGTCTAGAGAAGCGAATTTTGGACTACCCTACAATAATTAGCACACGTTCCAATTATTCGAGATTTTTACGGCATCAATATCTATGGTATGATAACTGCGAAAATATTATCTTTATCAAGTTCCCACGAGATATTAAGGGGCTACCGCGGGGTCTGAGTACTTGTTTTCTGATGAGTTATTTTTTTATTTTGATCAAGTTTTGAAATAGGGCCAATTTTGGGGTGTGAAGAAGATACGAAATCTGGTGCACATTTTGGTTTTATTGAACTGCTGGCATGCTTAGCCCATGGCTCAATTATTTGAGATTCTACTATGATTGAGTATTGTATCATACGCGACATGGAGCACGATTATCTTTGTAACTGTTGAAGGTATTGCTTCAATAATGTGGCGGGAGTGTGTTAAGTATGTATAGAAAATTGGGACTCAGATCACTGTACTGTACTCGAGTATGGATAGATACCTCTCGTTGATAAAAGTACAGCGGTCACGGTCACAGAGAATGTGCATCTGCCTTCTCACACCTCCCAGTTCCCATAAATCTTTATTTCTCTTCGGTTCCTCGTCTATTGCTCTTGACCGACAATGGTAACCCCCACAAATATCGAGTTAACGATTGTGAGTTCTACCGTTCTTGGTTAACGTAGTCTATTGGTCGCGTAGGGGATTGGCTTTGCCCACCTTGGGTCACAATTTTACTTGAAGCCCTCCAAAACGGATACGCCTTCTCTCATATCTTATCGTTACTGGTATGATACTATGATAGTATTTACGCGGGCTGGTATGGTTAATTTACTTTCTCAGCTGGATTCTTGGTAAACGGGCCCTGGTGGTCGAAATGGTCATCGACTTTCTCTTTTTGGTATCATATTTGTTGTACTCGTTCTGTATCGTACTTCCGAGGTAATTCTTGGCATACCCACAACTTCAACTGACCTACGAGTACTCGAGTACAGGGCCAAAGAGAAAATAGTTACTGGCGGGTGCAATAAGCTTGTCTTCGTACCTTACTTACCCGGGACACACCGAGAAAGCATCCCACGGCAATTTTTCTCCAATTTGACATTCTAGGAAAATTACCCCTGGTGTGAAATGCACCAAATTTGCTGAAAAGGGAAAGAGGGGTTGGTTGACACACAGTGTCCGCCCACGGGTTCCAAGCCCCCTCCCTAAGGACCACTATTTAGATCCATTCCCCTCTTTCACCCATTGCTGCGAACCTCATCCTCACGTTTTCACGAACTTAATTTTTCCCCATTAATTCGTAACAATGACTTCTGAGCAAACGTGAGTCTTTCCATTCAAAAATCCCATCTCCTAAGTATCTTTAGTTGACTTTCTTATCCCGAATCTAGTTTCATTGCGTGAGCTACCGGACTATGGCACTTTTTTGAGAGACTTTTACTGACCCCTGTGCCCGGCCAAAGCATCAAGCCTGATGGTGTGTTTTCATCCACTTTGTATGTCTGAACCCACTGACTAACAATCTCCGTTTTCGTAGGCGTCCAGCGTGGGCTTGTTGGTCCCATCGTCTCTCGTTTTGAGCAGAGGGGATACAAACTTGCTGCCATCAAGCTCGTCACCCCCAGCAAGGAGCACCTCGAGCAGCACTGTGCGTTTACTTTCAGCCAATTGTGATAAGCCTGGGCTGACATCTATCCAGACGCGGACCTTTCTGACAAGCCATTCTTCCCTGGGTGAGTATAAACAATATAGAGCAAACGAACCTTAATTGAGACATACTAACTGTCCTTAGCTTGATCAATTGTGCGTTTATCTGTACTGTGGAGCAACCTTAAATTTTTGGTTTAATATTGAATATAGACATGCTCTCTGGACCTATCTGCGCCATGGTTTGGGAAGGAAGAGACGCTGTTAAGACTGGACGCGGTAAGCAACGCACGTGTGATTCTTTTATAGAGCAACTGTCTAATAAGTGCCTTTCCTCAGTTCTCCTCGGCGCCACCAACCCTTTGGCATCTGCCCCCGGTACCATCCGTGGTGACTACGCTATTGTAAGAATGCTTCACAGTTTCCTCCTTTCACTGAGCTAGGTGCTAACCTTTTATACAGGATGTCGGACGTAACGTCTGCCACGGATCTGACTCGGTTGAGAATGCCCAGAAGGAGATCGACTTGTGGTTTTCCAAGGAAGATCTTGTGACCTACAAGCAGTCACAGCACTCTTGGATCTACGAGAAATAGATATTGTTCCCTCTCATAAGTCAGGTGTTTGAATACTGGCTCTAGATAGTTTTGCTTCTTCGTTAGTTTAAGATACGGGGCATGCTAGATGGAGAATCAGGAGAATGGAATCCCTGAAATAAAAATAAAATAAAAGAAGTATTTCTATCAAAGAACGTAATGTTCATCGACCTATGTTGTGTGAAGCGTAGTGTGTGTTGGGCCAATAATAGTTTCTTCGCATTTCTTGGAGAATTATGACTATCAAAAATCACGTGATGAGATAACACAAGCTTGGCAGAACCTTTTCCACAAAAAAAAAAAATTGGGGTTCCTCTATCCTCCGGACCTTCACATCACATACATCTACAATTCGCCCCATGAGTTTCGGAGGATTTCCACTCGGAGGCAGAGGCCTCGGGGGCACCAGCAGCAATGAGCCCCTCACGCCAGAACAGCAGCAAATGCAAATGGCCAAAACCGTCAGCATCTCCCCATCCAACCTATCCAAATGACCTCGTCACTAACTCCAACGATAAACAGATCCAAGCAGGCATGGAGTCCTGTCCCGTAAAAACCGTAATCTCAGGAGGGATGGGATTCGGCCTGGGCGCTTTATTCGGCCTCTTCATGGCCAGCGTATACCCCCCCCCCACCCAATTCAATCCACCCCAACCCTTCCCCACCAACTCATCTAACACGTAAGAAACCGATAAACAGATGTCCTACGACACCCCCATGACCGGCCTCCCCGGCGCCCCATCCGCGAGCCTCCAAAACCTCCCGCTGAAGGAACAACTGAGGCGCGGCTTCAAGGACATGGGTCAACGCTCCTACTCCACCGGGAAGAACTTCGCCCTCGTCGGCAGTATATTCGCCGGCACGGAATGCTGCATCGAGGGATTCCGCGCCAAGAATGATATGTACAATGGCATGTCGGCCGGGTGCGTTACCGGCGGCGTTCTCGCGGCCAAGGCGGGGCCGCAGGCGGCGGCGGTTGGGTGTGCGGGGTTTGCGGCGTTTAGCGCTGCTATTGATTATTATTTGAGGCACATGGATTAGGTTGGGGAGATTGTGTATTCTCATCTCAGTTTTTTTTTTGTTTCTTTGATTGAGGTTGGTACTTGTTTGCTTGTTCGGGCGAGGTTTTTAATTTCGGTGTATATAAAGTTGTGCGCAGCTGAGGAAGGTTAGAACGGGGTAATTTGTATGATATGGGTGGGGTATGATAATAGATTGGTCATGAATATGCTTGGGTTTTCTCCGAGTGCGGCCTTATGTGCTCGATGGGGGTCGTGGGTAAAATTACCTCAGCCTTGATATCCGAGTGACTGTTTGTGATGTCATCTACTTATGAATATTATTATGATACTAGAGATATATTTCCCAAAGTAGTTCAACATACGGTAGCTTCGGAAAGTGCTCCTTGATCATGCAAAAAGGAAAGGATTATATAGCACAAAATACCCCCTTAACCACAAGGGCCAACCAACGATCCAGGTATCTAATTAAAAAAAAAAAAACACCCCGGGAATCCAGTAATCTAAACTTTCGACTCCCTCCCTCCCTCCATCTCCACCACCACCTCCCTCAAGCTCTCTCTCAGGAGCGGTGAAACCTGCTTCCTACTCGCTACAAGGTTAAACTGCCTCCACGCTTTCCTGCCCCCATCTTTCAAATCCAACCCTCCATCTCTCCAACTCTGCAACTGCAAGTCTGCCTTTTGAGCCTTCTCTTCGAATGCGGGGACAGTCCCCTTAATGGAGTCTTTAAGAGCCCAGACCATAAGCTCCCTCTTGAACTCGTCCCCCTGACCAATCGTCGTCATGACAGAAACAAGGTCCAATCCCCGCTCATGGGCCCAGGACTTGACACCCTGGAGGAAGGAGTCCTGGTTTGGACGACTTTGTAGCCACTCCAGGTCTCTGACGATACACGCAATGCCAAGCTTTTTTCCATTGTCTTCGGTCCACTCTTTCCAATCCTTCCTTAGGAGATCCCGTAACGGCATTTGATCAATATCATTCTTGGCATCCCAGATGCCGTCAAAGAATTTCTGACGATCCCACTTCTCTCCACCGGGTTCGACCGGCATGCCCTTTATCACGCTTTCCAGGAACTCCACAGCGGAGAGGTCGTGCTCCGTGACTTTGTTCGTTAGGTTCGTGGTGTCGATTAGCGCAGCTGCTATTCCCAACCTTGCTAACTCTCCCCTAACAACCCCATTTGTGGGGAAGACATCTTTGAAATAGTTCGTGACTAGTGAGGCACAGCTCCCGCTCTTTTCTATAATCCTAGGTTTCGCGTTGGGGCTACGGCCCTCATCTTCATGGTGGTCGATTATTGCACGGACATTGGCATCTTGGAAGAATACGCGGAGGGCGGGTTCGAGCCTGTTGTGGTCTACTAAGGCTATCCGGGTGCTTTTGGGTAGGGTGGAGAGGGGCGGGTCGTCCGTGAAGAGGAGGTCTTCTGGAGAGATTTTTAGAAGGGTTAGGAGATGATGGATCTCCGGTCTGAGGGCCATGTCCGCCCGGGGCATCGAGAGAAAGGGTGCTGTTGGGGTTGGGGTGTAGTAGGCGTAAAGGAGGGAGGAGGCAAAGGAGTCAATGTCTGGGAGATGTTAGTATGAGTGGATTGGGAAAAGGAGAGGAGGGGGAGGGAGTTGAACCAACGGATTCATTGCCAATAACTATGTGCAGGGGTTTTGGAGCCTTTAGTGATTGTAAGAGGGAGGCCCGCGTCGTGGACATGAACTGGCCCAGGGAAATGCGGATGATGGACATTCTTGCTGTTTGATTAGGGATGTTTGTTCTGCTGTGCTGGGGCAGCAACAAACATCGATATCGGTTTCCCCCCACGAACACTGAATCGTATCATAGCTGTATCAATGTGGGGTAGGGTTAGGTGTTGCATACACTATCAAGGAGTGTCACGGAGCCCCACCACCCCACAAAACACTCACTTCCATATCTACCTCCACCCCCAACCACTGGCCAGCTGAAAATGCCCCGCCGGGCCTCCCCACCACTTGAAGCCCTCGCCACTCCAGAATACTGGAACACCCGCTACGCAACTGACTCCACTCCCTTTGACTGGTTCAAAAACCCCACATCCATTCACCCCTTCCTAACAAAGCACCTTCCGCCTCCAACCTCCAACCCATCGATCCTGCATCTCGGCTGCGGTAACTCACTTTTACCGGAGGATTTACACAGGCGCGGTTATGAAGACCAGACAGGTCTTGACTTTTCGGAGGTTGTGATCCGGGATATGAAGGCTAAGTATGAGGGGTTCGAGGGGTTGCGGTGGGAGGTCATGGATGTTAGGGAGATGCGCGGGGTGGGGGATGGGGCGGTTGATGTTGCGATTGATAAGGTTTGTTTTGATTTAGTCTACTCAGATATTGTTCTGGAGGAGGAGAGAGGGTGTGGGGTGATGGCTGATGAAGGGGGGTAGGGTACGCTTGACGCAATGCTTTCAGGATCGTTATGGGATCCGCCGGAGGAGGTCAGGAGGAATACGAAGGCTTATGTTGACGAGGTTGGTCCCCTTGTCCGCCTAGGAATGTAACTGGGGCTGATTGGGGCTGGGATAGGTTGCTAGGGTGTTGAAGGGTGGGGGATTGTTTCTATATATTACCTATCGACAGCCGCACTTTGTCAAGCCCATTATTGGACGGGAGGATGTGTGGCCGAGTTTCGAGATTGAGAGTATACAGGAGGAGGGGGGCATGTTTGAGTATTTTGGGTTTGTTATGAGGAAGAAGTAGATTATTGGCTGTTCTGCTAAGATGTGTATCATATAATCATAGATTTGGGATACAGGTTCTGGAGTTTGGGAATTGACCTCTTTATTTTGTGTAGGCTATGGGTACCAGATTACTCGTAATGATCTTAGATGATGCTCTGGATAGTCCCAAAGCAGCATCTTGAAGCTGTAAACAGACTCTTGGGGCCAGGTTTGGATCTGTGACCGACCAGACATTCTGTATCCCCTCAGGAGACATCTTTTCACCAAGTAGAAGAACCTCGCAAACCCTACAAAGGGCAGCTTTTCACACACCAAGCCAACTTAAAATACCTGAAGCTGACATACCCTATGATGCTTCAGACTCAGACACCCGCAAGATCCCACTAACTCCAATAATGAGTAATCTTTTTCACAAAGCTAACATAATCTGAAAAAAAGAAAGCATATTTTTCACCAAGTTAGTCACTCCCCGTAAAATACATAAAACTTGAATATAACAAGCCTGGGCATATTATTGTTAAGCTAGATATCAAAAACCAAGCCAAGCTGTATTGTATTTTTGTATCTTTACACAAAGTTGCTATAATATTATTTATATATTTTCACCAAGTTAGGCACCTCTGAAAAACTCATAAAACATGTATTATTATTTTTACACCAAGCCTGGGCATCTTATTGTTAAGCTAGATACCAATAATCAAGCCAAGCTGTATTGTATTTTTGAATATTGATACAAAGCTGCTATAATATTATTTATTAAAGAATATTTTCACCAAGTTAGATACACCCATAAAACCCATAAAACTTGAATACACCAAGTGTGAGTATATTATTGTTAAGCTAGATACCAAAACTCAAGACAAGTTGTATTATATTTTTACAAAAAATTTGCATAATATTATAAACCTATGGTTTTTTTACATCAAGCCTAGGTATTTTTTTTGTCAAGATAGATATAATACCTCTGCAAAACCAAAGCAAAGTATAACGTTCCTAAGTTCTTGTTAATATATAGTAATAGGCAACTATTCCTTTTCTTGATATATATATATATTGTCTTCGTCTCTTTGATATTTCTTAGACCATTTGGCCTATATTACTAACACTCACTTGGGTAATGCCTATCATTGTATTGTATAGAGATGTCACCACTAGGCTTGTGACAAATATAAAGGATAGAGATCATAAAGATGTTTTATTTGTATAAGTACTAAGTAAGGAAATTACTTAGAATATTCATTCTAATTTTATTTCATGTATGTACCGATCAGTCTAATCAGATGTGCGCAATCAGATCCATTTGAGTGACTGATCTGATGATCAGATTTGCTGTGCTTACTGGGACTCCTGTAGTGCTTTCCATCACAACAGGATTTTGCTTGAGTGACAATCCATAACTGTTTTCTCAGACTTTCAATATTCACAATACGCTCAAGTATAGATTGAGTGGATACTAGTCATATATGTACTGAGCAGTTATTCAGATCTGCATGATCTGTTGAATCTGGTGGGATAATCTGATAATCAGATATTCCATGATCACATGTACCACTGTAGAATTTTCCATTACAACCACATGCTACACCTAAAATGCATAGATTTAATGATAATAATACACTCTACAATGGGGTAGAGGGGTGGCTAGTATACTTGTACTACTGACTCTGGCATACAACAAGTCTATGCTGGTACAGTGTTAGTATAAACTAAAACTGCCACTAATTATGAACTAACTAATCTTCTAGTCCCATACTTTAAACATGCCTGCGCCATGATCGAACATGAATACTAAATATAAGACCATCAATGGTAAAGAAAGCCCTCCTCACTCCTATGCTCAAAGTCTCTCTGGTATGGAACCAACAGCAACCCCTGTAGTAAGCCCATATCATTCTCGACCAAGGAGTACTATGGGCAAATACTGGAATACTAAGGTGTACGGGTGACAGGTGAGACTCAGGACAAAGCCTAAAAGCTGAAGGGGTGTCCAATAAAGGCAAGTCCCCTGCACTAAAAAAACAAACTAAAAATTACTACCACCTAGTCTATATACTGTCCTGCAGCCCTTATTTACTACAAAGGAAAACCAATAACAATTTAACCCCACAGGTAGTATAATAGTAGGGAGGCAGCAACCAACACGTTCACCTCTGGCACCCGCATGCCAGGCTGTCAACTCTATGAATCCACTTTGCCAGTTACTATGGCAGAGCCTACTAGTACGGAGAACCTGTATCTATGGCCTGTAACCCAAAAAAATACATGAAATGAAGAAAAAACATAGAGGTGGTGACAGACCAAAGTGGTCAGCGGGGCCTATCTCTCATACATAGTACCCTGCCACCTCCTGCAATACCTGCAACCAAACCAAAGAAGACTAAACAAACCCCACAGAACCCAGCACACAAGATCCAAATAAGTCCAACTAGGTGGTTGCAATCCACTATATATACAGGTGGCTATCAGCCAGCTAGTCTGTCAGGAAGCTTTACAGCACTCAGTAGCTTAACCTTAACACCCTAGGTGAGGCTAAAAACCCTTAATTAGAATGCGCCCAATGTGAGGTGAGCCTGACTGGTGCATGATGGTACTTCTCTCCCCCTAGTCAGTCCCTCCCAAGTAGTATTGTTTACGAGCCAGCTTGAACCTCATTCAAGTCACAAAGAGAGTCGAGCCAGCTCGAATAGGGGTCCTTGAGCCAGCTCACATCACTTGGCACTGATGCTGCATATCTGTTAAACCATTGTAACCTCTAACCACTACAACTCCATGCTTCCTACTACCATGTACACCTTTCACATACTATTTACTCTGCCTACTACTCCCTCTACCGGTCTTCTGCTACTTCTTTTTAGTAGCCTACAATGAGATCAAAAAACATCCTACCACCTCTCTGCCTTCCTGCTTTCTATCCCCCCCCTCCCCTCCTGGCATTTAAGCATCCCAAACACAGCAACACAGGTAGTGAACGATCTATCACAGTTTGTTTATCTGCACCCTCTTAAGTGGCTAGTATACTATATCATCTACTGCTAGTACGTCAATCTTAGCACCTAGTATGTTAGCTAGTGTGAGCGCAGCAAGCATGAATGAGGGAGTGACAGGTAACTTTCTGGAATAGCTTAGTGGACAATGGGGTAAGTAGGGGCATTTTGAGTACTGCTGAGAAAGTTAATTGTCTAGGGATAAAGACTAATAATGTAACGTGTTCGCAAGGTGCTAATCACGTTATCGGTAAAGATACGATAGTTGTCAGGTGGCCTGCTCTTCCAGAGAGGAGGCGAGAGCTGGGAACTAAAGGAGGCTTCGAGGGTGTACTGGGGAACAAAGAAGTAACCGTTCAACCAAGTATATTGAAATACTGTCTGTCGAAGTCTGCCTTTTCTATCGTAGAAACAGGCGGTCTTTAAATACACAAATCTGTTCATGTCTAGCATGAACGAAACTAATCAAGGGTATCAATTGATACTCTTTGGTAAAACAAACCAAGTATCAAAACGATACATAAAACAAAACATAAAACAAAACCAAGTATCAAACGATACTTAAAACAAACCAAGTATCAAAGCGATACTTAAAACAAAACATAAAACTAAACCAAGTATCAAACGATACTTAAAACAAACCAAGTATCAAAGCGATACTTAAAACAAAACATAAAACAAAACCAAGTATCAAACGATACTTAAAACAAACCAAGTATCAAAGCGATACTAAAAACAAAACATAAAACAAAACCAATAACCAAGTACCCGTACCGGTTACATTCCCCAAAACAAAACAACTGTTTAAACAAACAAAACGTAATAATTATCAAAGGCGGATTCCGAGAAACTCATGGCTTCAGTTTCCGCCAAAAATTCTTCATCATAGGTATCACACCAAGGACAAGAGGAAACTTTAAGGAAACACTTAGACTCGAAGAAATCTAAATCACAGTAGTCACGAATACCAGATTCGTGCTGTACGTCAATCCAAGCATGATCACAATCAGGACAGTAGTCAATCCCGAGGATTTCGAAGTAGTCTTCAAGTTGGATAGCATCGCGGTTCAACAACAGTCCAACAACCTGTTGTCGCTACCTCACATTGAGCTCCACATAGTTGGACATCGTTATGGTATTCGGATGGTGATTGGTGACTAGATAAAATTGTCGAGAGCCGGCTCCATAGCTTGATTCTCCTCATCGCTACTTTCGAACTCTGACTCAAAGTGTGGTGCCCAAAATCCATCTCTAGTTTCGAGTTCTGCGTGCCATCGCTCAGTTTCTGGCATTGTAGGTGTCCAGCACATGGTGATATAATTGATTGTTGGGGGGAGGGATTCATTTGGCATGTTGTCTTTCCACCATCCGTTCACCATATCCATAGCGTGTTCAAGTCCTTCCAGTGGTTCCCAACTGTTTTCGCTCGTCGGATATCCTTTCCATTTGACTAGGAATTGATCATTTCCATGCCAAAGGCGATGGTCTCTGATTTCTTCAACTTCCCATTCATCCTTCTTTTCGATGATGATAGGTGCAGGCTGAGAGTGGGTCCTTCCAGGAAACTTGGAGTCGTCATTGGGATGGAATCGTTTGACAGCTGAGGCGTGGAAGACTGCAGTATTGTGGCGGTACATGCGTCCATCCATCTGGACAGTGTAATTCTCTGTATGCTCGTCAAAGGATATGACTTTGAAGGGTCCTCGCCATCGGGGTTGTAGTTTCTTGCTGCGTCCGACATTGGTAATAAACATGTTACCATGTACCATAAGCATGTCTCCTGGTGAGATGGGAACATGTTTGCGTCGTCGTTTCTGGGCAGTAGTGGTGCTTCGGAATCGGGCAGCCTTAACAGCTTGGAAGGCATCGTTCCGAATTGCTTGGTGGCGGTTTAGATGGTCATCGGAGGCAGGGACTGAGGAGTTCTTGAATAGAGTTGTAGGTAGGAGAGGGTATTGGCGGCCAAAGACTGCCTTATATGGTGACATTCCCAGGGTATCTGAAAATCCGGCATTGATATATGCGGCTAGTTCAAATAGGGCTGGTTCCCCGTTGGTTGGTCGTTCATTGATCATGTTCCTAATTCCAGTCTTAACTTCGCGGATTTTTCGTTCTGCCTGGCCATTAGTC